CATGCCTTGCCTGCCATTGTGGCAGTGTGGCCGGTACTGTTTACTGTGCCGTCTACGAGACTTCTCTGCAATGAGCGTACTAGCGCGGGAAGATGGGATAGAGAATGATGTCCTTCCAACCGCTGTGCGGCTGAGCGCACTTCCAGACTGAAGGGATCTTGTACACCCGATACCACGTTGCGCAACAAGGTACGTGCCTCTGTCCTTCTCTTGCGCTCTTTTCTGTGCCAGGCAGGTTCCCTGCGCTCCTGGATCTGCTCAAGCGCCCAGGAATTGTGCTGCAAACTCAGTCCAACCAAACAACAACACGCTGTTAAGAGCACAACTCTCATGCACCGATGCTCGAAACCACTGAGTAGGCCAATTGAATGGCAGCTAGTCAATTCGAAGCAGTTGCAAACGTCAAAGACGATGCAGGACGATGCAGCAATGAGAGCCGCAATCTGTAGGCGGGCCTACAAGGCCGCGCTGGGTCTGACAAAAGGGCGATTACCGGGACTCAAATGAGAAACTACAGGCAACTGCTCCTCAGCCAAACGCCTACCGGAAGGGTACCACAATCTTCAAGGTGAAGCCAGGTGAAATGAACGCCGGGCCCGGGCATCGGTCTCCAAAGTAGATATGCATGAGGACATCATCTATGAGCCCGATTCAGTTAATGAGCCTTGTTCCTCCAGCAAACAGCCACCTTCAGGTAGCTCGCTCCACGACGAGGAAACTTCATACTTCACCTCCGCAGCCTGAAGAGCGAAAAGAGAGTGAGGGAAAGCCAGTAACTAAGAAAGACATGTCCCTAGAACCAAAGCGGGTAGAGCTTCCTTTGCCTGGTCAAGAGTTACGTGTAGCCTCAGCTAGTTTCCAAGGTATGCTGCGTAGGCTTGAGAGTGAAGCAGAGTTGTACAAGCTACACGTGAAGCATTACCACATGTCACCCGCACAATTCCGTAGAAGGACAACCATGTTGAAGTTGCCAAAGCCTAAGTGTGACGAAATTGTCAAGAGTTGTGAGGTGAGTGGTACTTCGGTTCTAAGTCCGCCGCGAGCCAGAATCTCGCTGCGTGCGTCAGAATTCGGTGATTTCGTTTTCGTGGACCACCAGGAAATCCAGGCGTTAAACATTTAGTGTTGGATGGCTTTACGAATCTCCTGTGGGCTACGGCCCAGAAAAGCTTGTTCCCAGAGGAAACAATTTCCGTTCTCCGTTTGTGGATTCAAGAAAATATTTGTCGTGTGCGCTACTACGGAATCCTTCTTATCAGAACATGAGATATGTCATCATCCTTCTTGTGATCAAGGTTCAGAGTCACCAAGGTAAGACTGTAGCTCCTGTTGTTGACTTACAGCTCGCTACGAAGAAGGAACTTCAACCGCTGTAGCTGTAGCTTGGAAGAGCCTTGTCAGACATGAGATTCACCCTTGATCACCTTACACGCAGTCACTCCCAAGACTGTCTCTTTGTGTAAAGAGTTTGGAGTTCTTGTACTGATGCGCTTGGTTCTTGCTCCGGATGCTTCTCAGTTCTGGTCATCCCGTTCCTCGAGAAGGATGGAGATGGTACTGCCTACTTACTTGGCCACAAACTTACCTTCTGGATGGATGAAGCGTCTTGGTGGTGATCTTCCAGTTGTTCACGAGGGAGTGCTGTATGATTCCAAGTTTGTTCCTTTGTTGGCTTCTTGTCTCAAGGCAGACCCATCCTAGGCAAGTTTTCCTTTTTTGAGGGCTTGTTTGAAGGGTCTCCTTTGTTCTCTTAGCTTATGCCATGATAGAAGCAGCCAGGGAGATATGATCTTACCTCATGAGTCTCTTGTCAGCAAGATGAAGTCTTTGTCTGAGGTCATAGATACATTTTACCACAGCGTCTTGTTACTAGTTGCTAGTTCCTTACTTTTATCTTTGAAAAGGTGGATTGTGTGCGCCGTGGTATGGGAGTAGAGATCAATTCTCCTACTGAGGAGGGAAGCAGAATGTCCGGGTTTTAGCCCTTCCTCATCTGTCCTTTGAACAATATAGTGTTTACTGGGCCCTGCGTCTGTTGTTGTTAGGTGGGAACCTGGTGATTTTGAGAAGATCTTCTTTGTCCTTGTGAATCAGTTGAGGACTTTCTATGAGAAGTTGGATCTGACCAAGTGGTCCTTTGTTATCTTTTCCGAAGAAAGCACTGGTAAGCTTTTCAAGTGTGTTCCGCGTGACGAGTTGGGATGTATTGGTTCCCGTGATGGATTATCCTGTGAGTATCCACCAATCTCTTGAGCTGGTCAGAGTGTCTCAGATCTTGATCACCCAAGAGGTCCTACTCCGTTTGACGTGGATGACGAAGAAAAAATTTGACGATCCTCTGAGACCTGGGCCTCATACGGAGGGGGTCCCCACGGACCGGTATCGCCGCAGCCGTCGTTGGATCCTGATGACAGTCCGTTACCAGTCCGTTTCTTACGAGGAAGAGACTTGACGGACGTCAGGGCCTTGTGCTGGCGCCGTACCGCAATACTCCGACCCGGACATTCCATTGTCACCCGGGCACGAACGCTCTGCCACCTGCACCTCTTCCGCCGAGTTGAACGGAAACTCCACACATCTCGGACGATGATGCTCCGCTGCCGCCTCCGGACCTTCCGCGGGACGCTCTCCGAATAAGAAATTGATTCCTATGGATCCGGACGATCAATGTCCGTCGCGTATGCCACACGCACCGGTGAAGAAGTCTCGCGCGGCTAAAATGCACAAACTGCCTTCGGTTCCAGAAGGCGGTGACAACAATGCTCCGCATCCTGACGCGGCTTCTTCGGTGAAAGTAGGCCGCCTTCCAGTTACGGAAGGCGTTCCGGATATCTCATACTCCCGAGCCAGAGACTTCGGGGGAACCTGCTGCGCCCGAGTATGCTTGGCAACCTGTTGTGGATGAGCCCCTCGTGAACTTCTTAGACTCTACGGCTATTCATAAGAAAGGATGGTTTCCTTTTCTTAATGGTCAGGCTCAGGTTACTCACAGAGCTAAGGCCCTGAGAACGCCTGAGCATCCTCATAAGACCAGGGACCCACAGAGTATTCTGATTTCTTTGACAAGGTACCGAGTGGGTTATCAAGCAAAGCACTGATCTTAAGCATCAGGCAGGCAAGACTTTCTTGAAGAAAAAGTTGAGATCCTTGTTTCACTTCTCCTGCCTGTTCTCTAAGGTCGTAAAGAGATTCTCGTGCGTGTGCATCCGCAAATCTAAAAAATAGGAGATCCAGACAAGATGACCTGCCTATGGCAAGTGGCAAATGACCATCTAAGGTCATGTCCAAGTCCAAATCACAGAGCTTCAAAAGCAGGCCTGAATACAGCAGTTTTTGGGAGGCCTGTACCGGAACTGACGGGCTGCGGTGCAGCGCGGATACCCTCGAACGGGGTCCCCGGCTCACACCCAGCAAAGAAAGAAGAGAAGTGGTAGCACGGATACCCTCGAGAGACAGAAGCATCTTAGGTCCCATGCTCATGAGGAATCGAAGAAGAAATAGTGAAGCATCCTCAGGGATCTGCCAGGTGCTGGCCCAGCCACGCGGCCTCTGGGGACCGCCGGAGCACCGCCCTTGCGTTTTCACGCTGCAGCTCGACTCAACGCTCAAGGCCTGAAACAACCGCTCCGTCTCATCAGCTGCAGAGTTGCCAGATCGGACAGCCATGGCCGCCCCCAAGTCCTTCCAGACGCGCAGGGCGGTGGGCGCCCAGCCTCCTGAAGCCTCAACCTGTGCCTTGCAGAGTGCTTGTGTATTCAGGTGGCTGCGTGGGCGACCGCTTCCTAGGCGGTGCAGGATGACTGGCCTCGCCCACTCGTTGGCCTCGGAGAGGCCAGCCATGCCACCGTGTCCGCTGTGGCCGCCGTACCCCGCACCGTCGCCCAAAGAGCTGCAGGTGTCGCCGATGCAGGCGAACTCAAGGTCCAGGCCGCCGTCCACAACCACGCGCACCCCGAGCACGAGGAGCCAGCAGAAGCCGCGGAGGCCAGGCGGCCGACAGCTGGTTAAGGCCCAACCAAGACGACCCATGGCAGCATGACCTCCTACCAAATCACTGTAGGCAAGCCTCACCTTACCCCTGAAGTACTTGATGAGCTTGTGGAACACTTTGTTGATCCTGTTCATAGTAGTCCGATTAGAGGTAGGAGGCCCATTGGCGTTTTGTCTATACATGTAGGTGATCTCATGATCACTGGGGACAAGAATTTTCTTGGTTGGTTTGTCAACACCGTACGCAAGCACGTTTCTATTGGCCATGAGGATGCCAATAGACGAGGCAACACCTCTCCAATTCGGCTATTCCGACTGGGGGCTCAAAGCAGCAGATGGCTCCGGTACATACTGTCCTGTAACGGGCCCGGCAAACACAGCTAATCCGGTACTGTCCTCACTGCGGGCTCTATAGGGGCCTCAGACACCTCACACATATGTGACATTTTGTTTGCAGGTCAGAGAGTTGCTTGGGTCCTTGATGACAAAACGGAAGAGAAGTATATTGGTGTCACCCAGGAACTCAATGTGAAAGAGTGAGAAGAGATCCCATCCCGCGCGGGCCCCACGACTCCGCACATGACTGCACATGTCTGCACGCTGGAAGTCCGCACATGACTGTACATGTCTGCACATGTAGATCACAACTGAACATGTTCGGCCATGGCGCGTAAACATACCGCACAAATCTAATCTTGCTTGCTCAGGGTTCTAATCTTGCTACCTCAAGGGGCCAGCTTGCAGGTACACATTGGAACGTCCTCCAATGCTTCACCAAAAAATATGGGTGTCTTCGTTGACAGTGACCCACAAACTCTGTCACTGCCCGCTGCTGGATTGTGATGACATGTCTACCTAGCTTGCACATTCTTCGGTTTGTCTGTCAATCATGCCAAGTGAACGTTCTTGGAAACAGACACACACTTGAGCACACTTCGAAACACACATTTTCAACTACAACAGCGCACACGTGCTCAACTCTTTCCACCCTCCACTTCTCGGCTCCGTGCTGCTTCGGTTCCCCAACTCCTCAAGACAACACCTCCTTCACACACATTGCCTTGAACACCTCCAATGGTCCACGTCCTTGCGGAGGAAGTCCACCGCAGCCTGGCTTCCAAGACTCTTCCTCTTTGAAATGGGGCTTTTGGCATCCGCAGGCGGTGGCGGTCCTGGCTGCTTAGTACATCCCAAACCTGAGTGAAATCGACACAGACTTCTCTGACTCACCTGAGCTGATTGAGCTCATGGCCCCATCGCAGGCCAAAAGGAGAAATTCATCTTGCGTCTGCCTCCATAGTGAATTTTCTGGACTCAAGCTGCACGCGACTGATGCGACTGCAAACCTGCCTGGGGACAGCACGAACATCTGGGCTGGCAGTCACCTAGGCTCAGAATTGGCTGTTCGGCTTTTCTGTGCTTCAGCCTCTGAAGCGAGTGGCAATCTGACGGTCTGGGGGGAGGCGGCGGTCTAGCTTGTACTCCAAGTCCCCGATAGCCTGACAGGACGACTTAAGACCGTCAGCCCAACGCAAAAAATGTTGCAAATGAGACAGCCACCCTGGATAAGCTGAGATCTCCATTAACCTGCTTAAGGATGAGTGTATTTGGTAAGCTGAATTTTTCAAATCTCAGCCACGCACCCTGAGAACTGCACCGCCTTCTATCCAGCCGCCTGGAGCGGGTTTCGGTGAGAGTTTGGGCAACTGGAAAATAGGCACCTGCAGACTCGATGCGTGCCCGCTCGCCCGGCAGCTCCGGCTTGTGATCCTGGCAGCCCATTGGCCAGGCCCATCAGCTTGCAAATCCGCAGCTTGCAGCAGGCGTGCCGCAGCTCGGAGCCTGGGAGAGGTCCAAGGCCAAACCGCCGCGGCACAGCACCGCCCGGCTGTCGCCCGCGTTGGCCACGAACAGCGTGCTGGGAGTCACGCAGCTGAGAACCTGGAAAAACACCTCTTCCTCACTTTCGCTTCAAGCAATTTCTATTGTTTCATCTCGGGTTTTCTTGGGTAGACAGCATATTCACATCCAATGGTCCTTGGATGCTCTCAGGTGCTGCCAACTTTCACTGAAATCCTGATACAGCTCAATGTTACATAGAAATTGAAACACACTGCAAATCCCATTCCCGACAACGGTTCGCGGACAATAGACATGCCGGCATGCAGCCGTACACTGTACACTCCTATGAGGTCGCTCATCCGCTAAGCCGAGAAAAGCTTGTAAAAACGACGACGGCACAGCCAAACGGCTTGGGAGGGAAGCGCGGCCATGCCAAACAGCCATCTCGTCATACTTCCTAACTTAGAGAATGCTCAAAGAATGCCCAAACCAGACTAACAGCGATGCAATGAAAGCGAGACTTGAAACATGAGGAGCCGCGCAGGAAGCGAAGGATCTCCAAGAAAGGTTCGGTTGGATGTTTGCGTGTGGAGGCCTGATTGTAACTGGGAACAGGCGCGATCCAAGCAGGGATTCAAATAGATTTGGCATGATTCAGCGAAGCCTCGGGACTCCAATTACAGGAGGGATCTGAACAAAAAAGATCGCCTGGACAACTCGGAGGAATCCACGACGGGGACACAAGGATCCAATAAATCTGGTGGCACTATAAACAGTCCCTCCCTAAACCAGGCAACCTCAACATCGGCCGGGTGCCGGACCACTGTGCAACCCATGCCTTCGGCCGTCTGGCGACGAGCCCTGAGCATTCTGCAATATTCGGCAGATTCTTAAGATCTCTCAAGCTATCTCCAGCCGCAGCCGGTCCTAGCGGACTTTGCCAGCGCTGACAGCCTGAGGACGTCTTTGGATTCAAACTGAGTTCTCCGGGCTGGGCCGGGGCTCCGGCCTTCGAAGCTCCTTGAGCCCCTCTGGCTCCTGGAAGCTTTTGCTTTTACATGCTTTCTCTTCGCAGTCCTCGACTGCAAGCAGTCCTGGAGCAGCTCGTCCATCTCGACCTGGAGCGGAGATTGCTCTGCTAAGCATTTTGAACGAAGTTCGAAGGACGACAAATTCTGGGGCCAGCTGCAAAGGACTGGGCCATGGCCGAGGCCTCGGGAGATGAGACGAAGCACGAAGAGCAATAGCTAAGCTTTGTAGCTTTTAGCTGAATGTAGCTTAGATGATTTCGAGATCGGGCCCTGGCAGGATCTGCGCTTGGCCTACAAAGGGAAGCGGGGAAATTTACACTTGCCAAGGCAAACTCTTTCCTTCTCTCCAAAGAGACCTCGCCTCTGCGCGATGGACTTGGGGAGGTGGCCTTGGCGAAAAAGCTCAGGCTTTCAATTAAAGGGAACCACGCTCTTCCGCTTCCTCCGCCGGGTTCCCCGGGGTCCGGACGTTCGCAGAATTTGGCCACCTGTCAGTTCTCAAGCGAGTTTCCCAATGCGATCCCAGTTTGCCTTTTGTTGCCCCGAGCCTGAAAACCGCCATGACCATCCATGACGCCAAACAAACCTATCTGCTCCCAGCCAATGTCGACCTCGAGCTTGTAATCAGACCTCGCACACTGCGCAAGCTGCGCAGGCTGAAGCTACAAGAGGCTACAAAGAGGCTACAAGCGGGTATTCTAAGGCCGTAAGCAACCCTGTGATCTGAGCGGAACGCAGCACTGCTTCGCGCAAGGATGGGAGGACCAGGTGAGCATCTTCCATCGACTCTCGCCAGCCCTGTCATGAGTCGAGAAACCGCGACAAATCAATGTCCAACCTAAAAATGGCTTTCTTTTGAATTTCTTCGCTTACCCGGAGTCTGGATGCTCTGCTGCAAGGGCACTCGAGAAGTTTGAGATCGCAAATATGCTAGCTGCTAGCTTTCACAGATTCCACTAGCCTCCTGCAAAACCCATGTTGAACATGTCAGAGGCAGGATTCAGGACGAGTTCATTTGCTATTGGTGTTAGAGAAGGTTTCAAGGGGAGCTTGAGTTTGGAAACGGTCATGTTTGAGGGGAGTTTGATGTGATGCAACCGTTTCAAGTAGGGGGGCAGAATCAAAATCAAGGAACGACTGATACTGGAGATTTACACGCGAATGGGCAAGTGTTTACAGGGCTTGGAAAACCAGCAGCTTCGATCCTGCATTTCAGCACTTCCCCAAGCCATGAAGCGAGACACGCCATCGCCTTGGAAGGCAAACGGGATCATTTCTGCCTGGCTGCTCTGCCTTTAAGTACCAGGTATCAGTCCAAGATTCTGCCAGTTTTGTGGGTCACGGGACCGCGTGCCCCCAAGTCCTGAATGACCAAACACAGCGCAAAAAGACAGGTTGATCTTGACTTACCGTCCTCATCGACTGGGCCGTCATCATCCTCACGCAAGCACACGCCTGCCAAGCCAAAATTTAACCAGGTTTGTCTGAGGGACATGACTCAGGGTACCTGCTCGGCCGCCCATTCGGAGCAATGACGCTTGCAATTGCGCACAACAGGCACGACAGCTGACTTCTTGGACTGCAACGGAAGAACTATGTGCAAGTAAGCTGCGGAGATCCTGTGCTGAGTTTGTAACCATGCCAAAAAGTAGGATGCATTGCTGGGACAGCCAGAAACAGGTCTGAAAGGAAACTCCATGTTCTACGGATCATGGGACAATCACAAGCAAGCATTGTTTTGATTGCTCCCTGAGAGCTTTTGTTGTTGTCGGAGGTGTTGGGTTGAACGGCCAGGTCTTTCAGCTTTCTCAATCGGACTTGGTGGAAAGCCATGGCTTACCAAAGGCGCTTGGCCATATTTCTAAACCTCACAATCCCATTGCCGCGGGGACCGCGCATCAAGCCTTTTCTCAATGGATGCCGGAGCTCCTTTCGCTCCGCATGCTCCAGAATATCAGCATGCAAGCTCAGTTCGCGCTGACGCCCACGATCTCTTTGTGTACCTGAGCCGGCGCAGGCGAGCCGAGGCAGTGCCGTTGACGGGAGCTTTCAAGAAGTCGAAGAGTTGTGAAAAGCGAAAAGCCCCGCACATAGCTCACTGCAAAGGCGGTCACCGAAAAGCCATTTGGGAGGTACACGGGAGGCCTTTCGTTTTAGCAGAGGTCTTTGCAGTTGCATTCAGCCAATGGCAGCGAAGCAGGGTGCGAAGCACAGGGCCCCGGGCTCGCCGCAGGGCTGCACGCCGCAGTTGTCCTGCACTTGAATCCGTCTGACATGTCCTTCCACATACGAATTCCATGCATTGCTAGTGGCCAGCTGCTAGATATTGTGCCGGAGAACTTGGGCTGCAGGACGAGCTGGCGGCAAAATCAAAGTGGCATCAAGTCCTGTGGGCTCCAGCCTTGTCGGTAAACTTCCAGCGTGGATCCTGCATGGACAGCGTCGCAAGGTCGCAACATATCCCAGAAGGTTCCCTTCCGGCCTGTACAGAAAAACCTCTTTCGGAGACCCTCCATGATGGAGACCTTGCACCACTTGCATAAGTGGCCATGCTGCGATGTCTTGTGATGCGATGCGGATGGACCCACCTGGCGCGTCAACTTCTCCTGCAAACCGAGGGCCTCCAAAACGGTGCGTATGCGTATCTGGTGCATCGCTCTTCTCGAACCTTGTATTGCGGCAGCTCCGCAGCACTGCCGAAGCCGAAGTGGATCTGGAAAGGGCGCAGCAATTCCCCCCTTCACCACCCCCCCGGGCACCCACATGGGCGCAAGCCTCCATGTCCAGCGTGCGCACCTGAAAAGTGGACTGCTTTCGTGTGGCAAGTGAGTTGCAAAACCCAGAGCCTTATCCCATTCCGCAGGGTGTTCGATCAGCCTTCAGAGGCCAAGAGAAGATGAGACAGAGAGACGAACCATCCAAAAAAGGAGCATTGGTGCAACGTCTTTTTCCAGCACCTCTGGTGCTGAAAGTCTTAGCTGTGCTCTTGCAGCTTGCTAACGGCCTCTCTCACATTACGAACCTCCACTTTCCGTCTCCGGCCATTGGGAAGCTCCACCTACGTCAGAGCTCCAAGCTGCAGATTCTCCCTCCCTCTCTGGCCGAGAGTCGGGCGTGATGTGAGCTATAGTCTAAGCTCCCCCTCCCTCTCCCTCCCTCGCTCCCTCCCTCCCTCTCGCTCCCTCTCGCTCCCGCTCTTGCTCCCTCTCACTCGCTATACACGATCTGCTATCATGTGCTCTCAATTTCTGGGATCCGTCACCGCCTCCAGTCTGACAGGTCTTTCCTCAGAGCCCGTGCCCAGGAACTGGCACAACTCGTCGATGACCTTGTCCTTGGAAGCAGGAGCAGACGTGGTCGTCTGTCAAGTCATGTCAACTCCATCTCCCTATGAGACTTTCTGAAGTCTTCTACCTTCATCTTCCTATGACTTTCTGAAGTCTTCTACCAAACTTCTACCTTTGTCTTCTTCTCATTTCCTTCTTCTCGTTTCCTTCTACTCGCTTCATCTCGCTTCCTCGGTCAGGCTGCTGTGGGAAGCAGCTGGCTCCAGCGCGCGGGGTTCAGCCGCGCCAGGCCGGCCTCAGGCGCAACATCACAAGTGACAGTTGCTACGCCAAGCTATCCTGTGAAGCCGCTACCGCTCCTCTCCGCGTGCCGCTTTTTGGGGGCCCCAACCCCGATAGGCCCGCCATAACCACGGCCAGCATCTTGCCACATCCACCTGGCCATCTCCCCGGCAGTGGCCGGTGCTATGAGCGCTCACCAAGTAAGGAAAGCAAGGAACGAGAAAACACAGGGTGCCGGTGTGCCTTGCATGGCTTTGGGAACATGAACGCGGCTCCTGCTGTCGTGGCACAGCACAGCTGCACAGCTGCGCAGTTGCTCTCTCTTTTGGATCCTCGCTTGGCTGGCTTTCCGCCGAGTACTCGGAGGGCCCGGAGTGGCTCGAGCGAGACACCGGAGACAGGCCGAGGCCGAAAGCTCCGAGAGCCTCACGGAGCTCGTGGTCAGCTTCAACGGCATGCGGCCAAGCAGCCAAGGCCGGAGTCTCCAGGAGCAAGCGGAGGACCAAAAGCACTTGCTCTCGTTGACCTGGAAGCTGCTCGAAGGCCAACAGCAAGAACCGGAAGATGGGCAGCTTCGGTTCCAAGCGAGCCACCACCTGCAGAGTGCTGCAAACCGCAGCAGTAAGCGGCAGCAAGCTAGCAGCTCATAACTTGAAGCCATTCATGGAATTCTTTCATGAGGGTCGCGAAACATGCCTGCTGGTCGATTCGGGAGAACTCAGCCACGAGATGCAATCCTTGTGCAAGCTGCTGCAGCTTTGCCGCAGCTTCTCTTCGTCGCTCCTCCGAATCCCGTTCTTCAAGCGGCCGTTCTTCGAAGACTCTTTCGAAATCCAAGCGCCGCAGTGCAGCAATGGCCGAGAGCACAGCATCCAGGGCGGCGCTGCGAGCCTCGCCGGCCTCGCCGGCCTCACCCTCAGGCCCTTCGAGCCCTTGAGGCGCTGGAGCCGGTGCGCTAGGACCGCTGGGTGCACTGTGACCTTCACGAACTTCAGGCGGTTTCGCAGGTGCCTGTGATGGGTCGCATCTCGTTGCGCTGCCATAAGGAGCTTCAGCACAGGCCTCCAATTGAAGCTCCATGTCATCCGGGAGTTTCCGCAAAAAGCCACAGGCCTGCGAGCACTGCCTCGCCTAACTCGTCTATCTTTTTCATCTTACCGTCTCTGTGCTTTGCTTCTCGGCTTCTCTCCTCAGCAGCTTCCCACCAGGCTGCGCTCTTCAGGAGGATGCTGGCCACATTCGCAATCTGCCTTGCGGAGCGCTCCCGAAAACTGTTCAGCTTCCGGGAAAAACTGTGAAGCAGCTTTACCCCTCTGCCATGTCGTTTTGTCCTTTGCCTTCGGTGCGGCCTTCTGCATTGAGCAAATTCTGCAAGGAACGCCAAGACCTGACAACTGCCACGAATGACTGCTCTCCCTTGACACGGCTACCGCCATGGTCAATGTGGTCGCGTATGTCGCGTGCCTTGGGTTTCTTGTCTAACTCCTGCAGAGGAAAAAGCTCCACGATGCACTCAGCGGCACACGAGCACGAGCAGGGGCGGCCGCAGGGAGGGGCCTGCAGCAGGCTTCGTGGGCTTCCTGGGCTTCCCGTGCTCCGGCTTGCATCCGCACCTTTCCAGGAAGCAAAATGCGCAATTCCGACTTGGTCGGCAAACTGCAAGGGGCCCCGAGGTGCCGACGTACAACGCCCTTGCGGAAGACAGCAAAGGCATCGCCCGCTGAGTCATCAGTGTAGCGGACCACCTGCACCAAGCTCCGAGCTCCCTTGTGCCGCTGAAAAAGGCAAACGCCAAAGCAAAAGCAAAGCTTCCGAAGGCCGCTTCTGGCCGACCTGTAAGATGGCCGTGTGACCCTCTCGGAGTAATTGCTTGGTTTCATCGACAGCTTCCTGCTCACGCATGCTCCCATGGGAGCCACGACAGAAATCATTTACAATCTACGCTACGCATCGAGCCACGAAGCCTGCAGCGAAGCAACAGAATTGCAACAAAGGCTTCATCATACACCGATTGCATGTTCTTGTCTTAGGAAGCAGCCACTCCAACACGTCCCACTCGGAGCCTTCAACCTCCAAAACATAGCAAGATTTGAGTTAGGTTTTCTGCCCACATTTCTTGGCACTGGGATGCTCGCGTCAATCTTCAGATGCAAGGAAAGCTTGGGCCAACCCCGCAACTGTTCCTTAGCCGAAGAAGCGCGTCCTTGTCGTTTCATTCCTTTGCCTGGGCGGCTTCCAGGCCTGGCCTCAAGGGTGACGAAGTGCCGCTTCTCGACCACGACGTCCTGGCTCAAAAAGTCGAGCTCTCACAAGATCCTTCACAAGCTGCCCGGCCTGCCCCGCTAAACAGCTCCGGTGCGGATAGTAGCTTGCCCCGTAGCAGATCGGGTCCCTGAGGCTCACTCTGCAGTTTGCACTCGGCTTCAGGACCGAGAGAGGTTGAGGACAGCACAACTTTGGCTCGCCCAAATGATTTTTCGCGCATGTTGCTGAGTTGTTGGGCCTCGCGCGAAATTTGTTTACTTAAGTGGTTCTAGCCCTGCCACATATGCATCACTTGCAGGAGCCCGGCGCTGTTCCAGACATTGGAGGTGATCGCTCCAGAGGAATGTAGCCTCAAAGGACGGGCAGCAGCCCAAGCAAGCTACTCACTTCTACTCACTTGTGATTCAGAGGTCAGCACAATCGAAGAGATGCACAGGCAGACCAAATTTCTGTTCAGGAGCACACATGAGGATCGAGACCTTCTTTGCTGGGTTCCAAGTTCTTGAAGCGCCTGTGTCACCAGTTCTCCCCAGATGTCCCGTTCCTCGAGCCATGGCACACAAATGCTTAGAGGATCCCATAGAGATCCTGAAGAAGAGCCATGTGGCTGCCAGTGGACATGTTTGAAGTTCGTGACTGTTTCCGTCACCGGCAAAGAACCCCTCAGTCTTGCAAGAACTCCGCTATGAGTATTTTGCTCATGAGAAGTCGGATGGCTGCTTCTCGCCCACATGTTGTTTTTCCCGAATGCTCCACAGAAGGGTTCCCGTTTTAAGGTTGGGGTCCAGGGGTCCAGGAGGTGACCAACAGTCGTTGCGTTTGTGTTTGCAAGCCTCCGCCAGCGTCGAGTGTCGCGCACACTTGGCAGTCACGAAACGGGGGTCCTGATCGCGAAACGCAGAACTGCCGTCACTGTTGGGCTTGCGCTTGGTCCTCACCTTTCAAAAATTTCAACAGTCACAAGGATGCGAGGGGTCCTGGTCGCGAAACGCAGAACTGTCGTCCCTTTTGGACTTGCCTTTGGTCTTCGCGTTTCCGCGAAAGCAGAAGCGCTCTACCTTTTCCTAGATTCGAGCACTAGTAGTGTTGCATATTGGGCTGTGTAATGTGTACCCTTAACAGTCTTTACATGGCACACATATGGGACATGTTAGGGATTGAAATTTTCTCGCCCCTTCCTTGTGCCCAGGAAAGACAGAAGGATCTTGGTCCAACTTGACTCCCGAAGCACAGACTTTGCAGGCAGGGTACTGCTTGATTCCCCTCGACTGCTTCAACGTGGAGCAGTCCACCGCGCTGTGGTATCTTCCACCACACTGTGAAACAAAGAGAAGTGGTCGCGTAGAGGCATGCTTTCTCCCACAACTCTTGCAAGCAAAGTAGGCAAGGTAGGTAAAAATGACCATGCCGACTGCCAACGCCACACAGAGGTTAAGCAACAACTTGTAGAAACACAAGTCTTGCTGGCTTACGAACCTGGTGTCGCCCAGTGTACCTCCTGGACCATTGGAAGGTAGTCTATCGTCTTGTCGGATGCTGCTGGTTTGCGGCTGCCATGGTTTCTTGCTGATGCTGTTGCTCACAACGCATCCCATGGATTTCATGCCAAGCCCTGACCTGTCCAAGACCAAATTGTCGACAGTAGTATCACCCGCGCTCCCTGCGGATCTTCTCGCTCTTCCTCCTCAGACTTCGGCTCCTCCAAGTCACTGCTAGCTCCTCGTGCGGCCGAAGCCTGGCTCAAGCCCCTTTCCAGGTGTTGACGCACTCGCTGCTCGGCTACGCCAATCAGGCCTGCTTTCCTGGCCCTTGTCCTGCTATGCTGACCAAACCACGGTGGGCGTCGTTTAGCCTTCCCTCGAAGAGCTCGATGACGTCCCAAACGTCGACGGCAGTCCCTCTGGAAGGTAAGTCCGGTCGTCCAGAAAGCTGTTCAACCCAGCGCAGATCCGTCTACTGGCCGTCGCAGTGCGTCAGCTGTAGGCAGCTGACCTGGCATCGGTGCCTCTGCCGACTCCCTCCAATCCACTGACTCCGATTGTAGCGCGTCTCACTATCCCACGCAAAGCTCGCCTTTCTTGGGCCTCCTCGGAACGTCGTTTACGTGCTTTCGATCCCTTGGATCCTTCTCCTTTCCCACCAGGGCCTTTACTTCCACGGCATTTTTCCGTCTTGTCTGCTTCTTGGCGCTGCTTCGGTCGCAGCTGCCACGCTACCAGGTTTTAGGGGTTTTGTTCTCGTTGTCCTGCGGGCACACCCGCTCACAGCGGTGTCACCGCAAAGCGTTGAAGCCCCTGATTCGTACCAGGAGCTCCGCTCCCATGCGAAAGCAAAAGTGCTCTACCTTTTCCTAGCTTCGAGCACTAGTAGGGTTGGGTATTGGGCTGTGTAATGTGTACCCTTTATGGTCTTTACATGGCACACATAAAGAGCATGTTAGGGATCGAGATTTTCTCGCAATCTCAAAAGTGTCAACAGTCACAGGGATCGTGGGGGTCCTGGTCGCGGAACGCCGAACTGTCGTCACTTTTGGACTTGCGTTTGGTCCTCGCGTCTCAACAGTGTCGACAGTCACAGGGGTTGGGCGCGTCCTCGTCGAAACCCAGAAACTTTTGGACGCGGCTCTGGTCCTTTCGTCTCAAAAGTGTCGGCGGTCACTGGGATCGTGGGGCTGTGGGGTCCTGGTTACAATGCAGAGCTGTCGTCACTGTTGGAGCCTCGCGCGAGAAGAGGAGGGCAGAGGACAGGAGAGGAGACGAGAGAGGAGACATGAGAGGGAGAGAGGAGAGAGGAGAGAGGTGAGAGTGGAGAGGGGATAGGGGAGAGGAGAGGATAGAGGAGTGGATGGAGATGGGGTTGGAGGATGGGATGGAGGAGAGGATGGAGAATAGTGGGAGGAGAGGATAGAGGCGGGGATAGAAGGACGAGAGGGGAGGAGGGGATGGAGGAGATGCTTTAAGAAAGAGAGGAGAATATAGAGGATAGGATAGAGGATAGGGTGGAGGAGAGGATAGGAGAGGAGACGTGTCTGCATTCGGGTTCGTGGATTCCACTAGCTTAAAATCTCCTGCTTGCAAAGAGCTTGTTCGTGCGCTTAAGCTGCATTGTTAGGAATCTCAGTCGAGACTGAAAGCGGACTGCGGCGAACCCCAAAATCTGCTTTCAGCCCTCAACTTTGCAAATTGTCTTCCACCGTTGAAGTTGAGAGACACAGTCCTCTATGCCGAAGGACAAGCCAAGTTGACCGTGGCCGTGACTACCTGTGAGACTTGGCGGGGCAATCATAGCTACGACCTGGCTGTTTATGCTGGCCCGCGGCCATCGAAGGCTCTGTTGCACCAGGTCTGATCGCCTCAAATGACCGAATAGAACCCCCCCCCCTTTGCCAAGCTGTGATAAACTGCGCCAAGCTGCCAAGCAGGTAGTAGCCACCGCACTTGGCCTCAACATGCACTCCCGCTCGCCGCTAAGCTTGAACTTTGAACACTCGTAATCCGCGCCTCTGACACGTCATCTGTTGGCCTAAGATACGGTACGGCATGCCGATGGCCGTCTCAGCTTGTCTCTCAGCTCCGCACGTAACCGCGGCCAGGGCCCGGCGCCCCAGCTCCGTCCTCCACTCGGTGAGGCCGGTGTAGGGCCAGAAAGGTGGAGGCGGAAGGCATGGCTTTCCGGGCCGTGAGCCTTGCAATTCATAACAGGCATCCTCCCGACATGGCAAAGTGCTTCATTCGAGGCCCATGCTCTGTGATCTGCCCTCACCATAGTAGGAGCATGGCTCCTAGGTACGTGCGCAATGCACCCGTGCTGAAAAGAGTTCCAGATGTTGCGCGGCCTCCGTCGGCACTGGTATCAGCGGATTGCCTAAGGCCTTCTTCAGTTTGGGCTCCTGACGATGTTCCAGGATGGGATCCGACTGAGGAAGGCATCGGTCTTCAAGTGGTTAAGTGGATTCTCCTCGAGAAAGTCTTGGTCAACGCAGTCTGTGAGGTGAAACAGCGCAGGCTGTGACACTAAGTGTCAGAAGACTGCGGAATTGCAGAGTCTGCACATATTCAAAGCACAAACTGCTTAACACTATTCAGCTATTCCATACTATAGCACATCAGCAACTATTCATACCGCCCCCGTAGGGTAGACTCTGGTATAGGAGGTGGCATCGGTCCCGCGGTGCTCACGGAGAAGCTCTGCAATCTCCAGCCGACCGAGCCGCGTCGACTCCTTCGACTCTTCGAGTTGAGCCACGCGGAGTGGGGTCCTGCAGAAATTCGCACAAAACTTCACACGAAGCAAGTTCACGAATCAATTGTCCACACAGTTCCCCCCTCGTCCTTCCATGGTTGTCGATGGCATTCGGGTTGCAGTCTCGACTGTCCAGCAGCAGCTTCGCAATCTCTACGTGGCCCATCAGTGCTGCAATGTGCCTTAATTAAGAAACAAATGATGGCTGAGCCAAGCTTCAAAAATCTTCACAGTGTCTTTCCTTCTAACATCGCTGTGCTCCTTGCAGGCATGTCCTCCCAAAGTCGTCCTTGACGTTTGGATTCTCCAAAGCGTCCAAATACATTTCAAACTCTTTGGTTTCACCATTCCTCATGATTTGCAGGACATGTCTGGCAGGGTCTCACATTTCCAAGGTTTGTTCATGCAGCCTTCTCAGCCAAGTGTCTCAGCATGGAAGAACATCCGCAGGCGAGCATTCTCATAGAAAGCTCGATATTTTGCCGCAGCATCCATGGCGTTCCCCGCACTTCCCTTTAAGGAACCGCTGGCTTCTGGTAGCTCTTGGGCTCAAGTTCAGAAGCGCAAAACGACATCACAGAAGGATGAACCATGTGACCCCTAGCTGCCGCTCCTCTCTGGAGAGTGTCTCTGGATCCCCGACACGAAAGCGCAGGGCCCGGCGGCCTGGAAAGGAGTCGGAAAGGCTCATTGGGCTCTTTTCGAGAAGTTCGACGCCAAAGTCTCCCGGCCACGATCGCACTGGATGTGATTGATGAGCTCTGTGCCATCGCTTGGACTGCAAGCGACAGCGCATGCAGAGCTGCCAAAAGCAGAAAATCAGCACATGCCCTCACATGCCTTTCGCTGCCCTGGTATGGATGGATGCAGTACCTTAGACGACTCAGGCGGATCTACACCTGCCCATTGAAGAGTGCATGAGTTGAGGCAACTGAGGACTGTGCTGGACTGCACCTCCCACGGACTGTATCAGAAATCCCGGAAGCTGTTCGTCCTGAACACGTTGAAAAGTGTCATTCTGCACTTGGCTCAGGTTGCTCAGGCTGCTTTCAGCGGTGCCTCTGCAAGCTTTTGGAAGCTCAGGATGTGCCTTTCTGCAAAAAGCACGACCAGCACACGACGTGCAAAAACGCAGCTTACGCATTCATCTCCTTTTTGGCCTCTTGGAGCTGCAGTCGGCAGGGAAGCTCAGCCGCGGCTCTGAGGAGGCTTCCGCGCCGTCGTCTGGGTGCGCGCACTGCCTTCCTGTTAGACAAAGACACATAAGCAAGAACACGCACCTCAGCCCCCTGCCTAGCTGAAAGCGGTAGGTGCCCTCCACTTCAGAGAAGTGGAGATTCTTCCCCTGAAGCTTTCACCATGCACGCTGGCTTCTCCCAACCTTGCTCTGGGGTATAGAGCCGGTTCATCAGCGCAGTCGGAGAAGACCAGCCTCCAGGGAAGTGGGATGCGGAGATGTGGAAATGGTCCTGAGGTCGGCTAGTCTGCTGCCCCCACACTGTGGAGTCTTCGCCAGTGACATCATCCTGCGCTTTCACCTTGCGCATCTCCCACGTAGCTGTAATTACAAGGGGCCAGAAATCTCTCAGCGGCACACGCACATGCCGCTCAGGTGCACTAAGGTGGTGTCAGCAGCCTCAAGAAAGGATGGCCATCAGCAGCCCAACATACACAACAACCCCAAACCAGAAACTCGCGCCTGGGGGTTCGTGGGAGTTGGCGGGCCCTGAAGGCGCGGGGTGGGCGCTGGCGCTGATGGCATGTCCACGCGCTCCACGTGGTCCAGGGTTGCTACCCGCTGGCTGTATTCTCTGGTCTCCAAAGGCACTGCTCGGCTCTGGGCCTCTCAGGCGAGACTCAACTTTTATCCATTCCTTTTACAAAAACAAAGCATGGCATGACACAGCTCTCCAGCTCTCTGCGCTGACCGCTGACGCTTGGGTTGAGACTCTGGAGGTCTGAAAACGCAAGCTCGCCCGCCCTGTCAGACTCTGATGCGTGCATGTGATTCCGGAAGACTTCGGCTATGTTTAGCGTTTAGCATGCTGCTGAGCTGAACGAGCCGTGCCTGGGCTGCAGTCCTGGAGGGTCAGGTAGGTCCCATCAAGTGGCCTCTCTGAGTCATCGAGGGGACTCAGACACTGCCTGACCGAAGGAGAAGCAGCTCGAGCAGCAAAAAGCAGCTGCAGCAGCAACAGCTTTGGGCAGCCCAGCCGGGTCTCAAGGTGCTCGAGCAAGAAGAGGTCCGTGCCAACAAGGAGCTTCCGGAAGGACGCGTGCCTAGGAGGCGCCCTGCAAAGCCCTTCAAGATCTTCCGATTCCCAGGCCTTCCGCAGGAGCCCACACTATCGCCAAGCACGAATACCACGTCTCTCCCCTGTGCCACAACCGCGCAGCGGTCAGAGCCTCTCAGAAAGAGAAGCTAAATTGGCACAGCCTGACATAGCCTGAAACTGCATGAATGCAGTCCTTTCTCTGTGTATGATCAGCGCTTCGGAGCACAGGAAAGGCACGGACCATGCCAACGAGATGACAGGCCAGCGGTCATTCAACGAGCACGAAGAAGAAGAACAAGAAGCATGAATATGGGAACATTGGTTAGTCCTCGAGACATTCACATGGCGCTCGAGGGGGCAAAGAGAAGCACTAATGAATCGTTTGTGTGCGCGTTCGGGTAACAAGTGTCTCATAGACCAGGCCAGGGCCGGAACTAGCCACTGGCCCTCTCTTGGCTTTGACTTTGGTTGTTGCTACCCCGCTACCCCCTCTTTGGCCTGGGCTAGGACCCCTTTCGAAAACCAGCACTCTGGTCTTCCTCTTCTACTTCTTCTTCTGGTAGAATATTAGGATTATATTGGGGTTATATAGAGATAANNGGAAACGACTATAGTATATAGAGGTAATAATTGGGGTTTGACAAGCACGCGGGAGTGCTCCGCTCCGCTCCCTAGTGCGCTGGATTATTCTGTTGCGGGCTCGTGTGTCGGGGCCAGACCCCAAAATATTTATGTGAAGATGATGAAGATGAAGATCCCCACCCAAAAGCAATCATCCCCCCCTGCTCAACCGACTTGAGAAACGGATGTCTCCTTCCGATCTCGCTCTCTGCACCAAAATCTGTTCAAGGCTCAAAAATGATCTTGTAATTCATTGCGGTCCTCAGGGAACGCGTAAACTAGCACACTTTATGCCCTTTGCCTTCTCTGCGGAGATCGTCTCTGCCACCTTAACGGTGCCTCAGCTGTGCCTGCTGCAATCTTGTCAATGCAGTATACCAGCAACAAGAGTGCGATGAAGTTGATGATCTGATGGGACAATGTCCACCTGCTGAGGCCTCTTGCTCCGTGAAATCTTTGTGGAATTCGTGGCCCCCGTGTGCTCTGCACAGCCACGCACACACACACAATCTCTTTCTCTCTCTCCCTTTTGCCTGTTGCAAGGGCTTAGCGAAGATCCCCCTGGACGCGTACGCACCCCCAAATCTCAATCTCCCTCTCTCTCTCTCTCTC